GCACATACACTATAAATTTTCAAACGTCCATACCTTCTCCCTATTCGAACCCGTGCCCTTCGGTACAGCAGTCAGAATCACTAACCATTATACCGGTTGGACGGCTTTTCAATTATTAAAATAATAATTTTCCCAAAAATATGAAATACATAACTTTTCTCTATTGTTCCCTGTAAATAACTGCTTTCTCGAAAGAATGAAGGCATCTTATGGACAATTTTAGATATCTTAAGCTTAATTGTCAACTTTTTAAGTGTGTAAACAGAGTCAGTATACAAATGTTGTGATCTTACACCATTATACGTACATGGTAATTTGCGGCCTGACGACCATCATACATCTTCGACGCAATTAAAATAGCCGTGAATTCAAAGAGACTCATGTTTATGCATGGAAGTTTGATAACGCTCTACTCAGCATCTGCTGCAATTGTCAAACACCATTCATTGCGGTTGTCTTCATAATAGCACGAATATCTTGCGGTGCTGTGTGTTTGACAGAGACAATTGCTGTATTTTATCATTTTGAAATGAACCAGCATCCGCGTTTACTCTTCATTCACGGACAGGCAACGAACGACGGCAATCCAACACAGGATACTTCAATGATTAAACACCGCTATCGTGATCTTCCGCATTATATGATACTTCTGAATATATGAGTTTCCTCAGTACTGTTAAGTTATGCAAGCTAAAAAGTATTACAATACAAATGCTTGTGCAGCTTATCGCGAAAAAAACAATGGGATTGGGAAATACGGATTTAGAACATAATATCATCTAAAGTTCGAACAATGAATAGTATTACAGCAGTAGTAAAATATATTTATGAAATAATGTTGAAGCCGGAAATTAAATACAAACATTTCTTCAGTGTCGTTTTTGTCATTATTATTATTATTATTGTTGTTGTTGTTGTTGTTGTTGTTAATGCCGTTTCCATCGGTTTGTGCTGACTATTGCCAGGCAAATGAGATCGGTAACAACAACATACTCTTGACAAATTGGGAAACTGCAAATCATGTTCTCTAAAAATAAGACTATTATGTTAATAGTTTTGCCACAAACGAATTTATATAGACATCAAATTCTATACTTCAAGTAATAATTATTATTAAATTGTCAAGAAAACTACTTTATAACAAAAACAGCTCTATTATCGAAATTATGTTCAAGCATTGACTGAACCATGTAAAGATATTAGTAATTTTCAAAATTTATTCTACCAATATTTAATAACGTAACTACTCTTCAAGCGTTATTTAAGTTACATAACTACCAATTATTTCGATGAAATAATGCATATATTAAACATTTTTTTTTTGAAAATGAATAATAATTTTTTTTATTCTGAGGTATTAATTGAATATTCTTAGTTAGTTCAATTCGCAAACATTAGAGCCGATATCAGAACAAATATTAAACTAAAAATGTTCGTAAAAGCTTAAAGACAGCAAACGTAGTTTTATTATAACTTATTTTAAAGGAATTGTATGTATAAGTATATTTATCTAGTTCTTCGCAACATTCATGAAATATACCAAGTATAAATAAACTCGAGGTGTTTTCATTTTAAATAGTATATCCTTTCATTTGGAATTAATACATTCAGTTATTTATGCTAAATTAATTAAAAAGAAATGCTGTTGACTTAAAGTAATTCTTTTGCTTCTTTCAAAAAATAGAATTTCTTATTTTTCCTGACTTGAAATTTGTCCCATTTGTCTAACTGTTTTACAGAAGATGCTCTAAAAAGGCGGTTACAAGTTTTATTTCTTTAAATATTGATTCTGTCGATGGACTTTTAATTAAAGCACTTCAAGTTAGAAAATTTTATACAAATAATATCATGTCACTGAAAGGACAGAGCTCAAAGACATAAAATTCAACTTAAATCCAACTAAGTAACAATTCCAGTTATATTTATTTAAACATAAACGTTTACATTTATTTGATAAAATGTAACGTCTCCCTGTGTTTAAATTCCTTGGGGATATTCCTAGAGGATATGGTACATTTTATAAACGTTTTGTGCTACCTAAGGCTTGTAAGAACACTAATCGCTAAAAGAAACAAATTTTGATTCATCGTTGCAACTCAAAAGGATTGTTAGGAGACACGATTTGAATCAATAATATGTATAGAGTTGCTGAAGTAAATTTGTTGTTAAATATCTCGACGAACTTTCAATGAAGATCCTTGAAATGTTCTGAGATTCCCCATCTTATTAAAGAATGATGATTATTTTATTATTTTGAATTTTAGTTGTTTCATACTACACAAAGCGTTTGTTTTTATTTTTTCAGAAACTTCCTGCACACAATGTATGAAGCCATTTTCATGATAGATTTGTTCTTAAATATCTCCGCGAATTTTGGTTGATGAAGGTTGAAATGTTTAGAGATTCCCCATCTCATTAAAAGATGATGATTATTTTATTATTTTGAATTTTAGGTGTCCCAGGCTATATATATTTTTTAATAGAAACTTTCTACACACAACGTATGAAGCCACTTTCAATATATTATCCACCTTGTTTGGGAACTTGTAATGAAACTTTAGGCATATTTAAAGAGATAAAACATGCACCCACCGTTTTGTAGCACCTTATGTAATTCATTCATAATACCGAAGAACCCGGGTTCGAGTCCCGGAGAAGGTATGGATATTTGTAAATGCGTAGTGGCTGTGCATCGTGGAGACTAAAAATATGCGGCTAGCCGAAAGTCTTCTTGAGATGTTGGTAGTAAAGGTGTAGAGACATTAGGAATTTCTGGAAGCAGGAGAAATGAAAAATTTGCAACACCTTCGTAGGGAATCGAACCGCGGATCTCTCAATTTTACTCGCTGAGCATAGAGACCACTACACCACGAAGGCTCGCTAAGAAGGCAGGAGAAATACCTTAGATACTCTCTCTTTTAAAGGGCGACTGGTGCTTTTAGGGGACCCAATCGCCAAATCCTGGGGTGAGGAGAATCATCATCCAACACCCTTTTAGTTCAGGCGCCACTATAGAGACATTAGGTATTTTTTGAAAGCAGGCAAGATGGCAAATATGCAACGCCTTCGCTGGGAATCGAACCGCTGACCTCTCAATTACGCGCTGAGCGCGCAGACCATTACACCACGAAAGCTCGTTAAGAAGGCGGGAGAAATATCTTAGATACTCCACCTTTTAAAGGGCGACAGGTGATTTTTAGGGGACACGATCGCAAATCCTGGGTGAGGAGAATCATCATCCAACACCCTTTCAATTCGGGCGCCCCTGTAGAGAAATTAGGTTATTTCGTGGCGAGAAAGATGAAAAATATGCAAACGGCTTCGCCGGGAATCGAACCACGGACCTCTCAATTACGCGCTGAGCGTGCAGACTACGACACCCGAAGGCTCGCTAAGAAGGCGGAGAAATACCTTATAGGGGAAGAGGAATGGAGGAATCCGTCGCCCCAGGCTGCTGTCCTTCAAAATTTTGGGGGGGGGCGAAACTCAGCAAAGTCGTAGTGTCACAGTCGTAGTGTACGGTGCCCGAAGCTGTTGCCAACGACAGGCGCAATCTTGACTCCTTGGCTCCATGAATTTCGTAGGCTTAGTCTGATATCAGACAAGCCAGATTAATCACAACAGTTACAAAGCTACTTATTCAGGCACGAAATAATAGCTACAAATATTTTAGGACGATAAATGCTAAAAACACTTTTATGAAATCGTTTTTCTCTTCAAATAAAAGAATATGAAAATTATTAGGAAAAGAGTATAAATTGGTCTAACATCCAAGCACAAAAGACATTCCTCCCTATTTGATCGTTTTTGCAAGCAAGCGAAAAGAAGACAGCCTTAAACATTAGGCTGTCAAGAAAGTAATTTAAGGCTGCACAAATAAATAGCGTTATGTTCGTTTTGTTATACTTCTGTCAATCTTACAATAATTTTTCTTTGGATATTTGGCAGCTGACGTTTTTACGTTGCTATTGAAACACATTCTGTGCATTTTTGTTTACAACTGTTAGTTTATGGTCAATTGACCGTAAGGCTCGCTAAGAAGGCAGGAGAAATACCTTAGATACTCTCTCTTTTAAAGGGCGACTGGTGCTTTTAGGGGACCCAATCGCCAAATCCTGGGTGAGGAGAATCATCATCCAACACCCTTTTAGTTCAGGCGCCACTATAGAGACATTAGGTATTTTTTGAAAGCAGGCAAGATGGCAAATATGCAACGCCTTCGCTGGGAATCGAACCGCTGACCTCTCAATTACGCGCTGAGCTAAGTTAATTCAGTTATTATAGGGTGCAAAAACAAGCATTTCCGACATATTTTACTTTTTGCAAGAACGCGACTGAGTCTGATAAAGAAATATGTGAAGTTAAGAGTGTTGATTGCTTAACAGAACGACATATGTCAGAATTGGTTTAAAAAATTTGTTTTGCATATTTTTCAGCTGAAGATGACCAACGTTCTGCCGACTTCCTAAAGTTGATGATTAAAAAATTAAAGCCGTATTTGAATCAATTCGACGTATATGTATCACACAATGACTAAATATATCACATAGAGTTGAAAATCATATATAGTAGTACCTCGCGATACGATGGGTTCACGATACGATGTGTTCAAGATACGAAGTGGAATATCGCAAATATTCGTGCTCGCGAAACGATGCGTTTTTCGCGATGCGATCCCAATATCTCTTGCCGCTTGAAATTGTTTTGAAGTTGGCGCGCTACGGGCAAACCTCACGCGTCACTAAGCAAGCCTCAGCAAGCCTCAATACGTCACTATTCAAGCTGTTCTGGTATTGGTCGACGTGACGTCATCTTCCTTTATCTATAAATCCTGTTCTCCTATTGGTCGGCATCACGGCATCGTAGGATACCGAGTCCACACAAAGCGTCGATGTGATATCGTTCTCTCCTACTCGAGACCGCGTGACGTTCGTACAGTTCATACGATATTCTTGTGATTATGTGATCGTAATATTATTTTGTGATAAACTTTATTCGCCATGGGTCCTAAATGTGCTTCTAGTGCTGGTGGTAATAAGGGAAAAAGAAAGTCATCGATAACCATGGAAGTGAAGTTGGAAATTATAAAAAAATACAAAAGTGGCATGCGCATCATGGCTATTGCTAATGCATATGGACGAAACCAATCGATGATTAGTACCATTATAAAGAATAAAGAAGCCATTAAAGCCAGCAAGTCTGCAAAGGGTGTTACCACCTTCTCATACAATATAACTGCCCTTAATGACGACATGGAGATTCTTCTTCTTATTTGGATAAAAGAGAAGAAAATTGCTGGTGATACGATAACACAAGCTGCTATATGCCATAAAGCCACTGCGATCTTTGAAGACCTCGCGAAAGCCCAGAGAGACGAAGGAGGCGAAGGGACATCAACACAAGAGGCCCCAACGTTCAAAGCATCTCATGGGTGGTTTGAACGATTCAAGAAGAGATCGGGGATACATAACGTGGTCAGGCATGGGGAAGCTGCCAGCGCCGATGAAAAAGTAGCGCAAGAATTTATCGAGGCCTTCAAAATGTTAATCCTCGATGAAGGCTACATCCCTCAACAAGTCTTCAACTGTGATGAAACGGGGCTTTTCTGGAAGAAAATGCCCCGTCGTACATACATCACAGAAGAAGAAAAGAAAACTTCCTGGACACAAACCCATGAAGGATAGGCTTACTCTTGCCCTATGTGCGAATTGCCAGTAGGGATTTAAAAATAAAACCTCTACTGGTATACCACTCAGAAAATCCTCGTGCCTTCAAGGCACATAATGTGTCGAAGGATAAGCTCGCCGTCTTTTGGAGGTCCAACGCCAAAGCCTTGGTCACGAGGCTTTTATTTGTTGAGTGGGTTAATTGCTGCTTCGGATCTGCAGTGAAAAAATAGAGGAGAATGGTCTTCCTCTAAAATGCCTCCTTGTGCTCGACAATGCCCCTGCTCATCCTCCTGGCCTTGAAGAACAGATACATCCCGACTTCGACTTCATCAAAGTGCTCTATCTGCCACCGAACACCACTTCCATCCTCCAGCCTATGGACCAGCAAGTCATTGCTAATTTTAAGAAGCTTTACACGAAGCACCTTTTCAACGATGCTTCGAAGTGACAGAGAGCACGCCTCACACTCCGTGAGTTTTGGAATAGTCACTACGACATTGTCCATTGCTTAAAAATCATAGAAAAGGCATGGGGTGAGGTCTCAAGGCGCACCTTGAACTCAGCATGGAGGAAACTCTGGGCAGCATTTGCATCTCAAAACCGCATTTGCGGTTTTGCAGCTGAAGAGGTGGTTCGGTAAAACCATCGAAAGTAGTCCTGTGAAAATTTTGTAAATATAACGCTGATTTTTGTTGTTTGACTTTTGAATTGGTATTTGTTCGGCGTGTTATTGTGTCTTAATTAATGAAATGATCTTTTGAAATCTGGCAGCATAAGTTTTAATGTATGTCCTTTAATAATATACTTCAGTACCTGAGCGAGGAAGAAATTTCCTTAAAGGATTATCCCTGGTAATGTTCTTTGCATGCATTTGCAGCGGAAGCATCGTACATCGCCCTCTCCTTACAAACGAAATAGCATTTTCTTGAAAAATGGTTCTAACTCTTATTTTCTGTTCACAACACTGTTATAATGGCAATCACACCATTCAACAAAATATGAAGAACACTTCTGCGAAACACTTGAAAAGTTGCAAAAGAGAATAAAATTTAGATGCCTAGGAAAATTAAGTGGAGGTGTGATTCTTCTGCATGCTAATACTTTGCCACATATTACAAAACATAACGTCCTAAATATGTCGAATTGCCATTAGATTTCTCGCTATATCTGGGCTAAACGTTCAGGTGTGCTTTCTTACGACTACCATACTTTCGATCTTCTAAAACAGTGTTCGAAACGACGGTTTATAATCGTTGATGAAATCAAAGATCTACGTAGAGATTTAGTTTATCTGAAAGCTTTCACTACTATAAAAGCTTCTTCTCTAAATATTTCCATAATGATTACTTGTGGTTTGATCTATCCTGGTAAATTAATATCTTTACTTGCATTAGAATTAACTGAAACAGTTTCATCTAAAATCAATGTTTTACTAACAGTTTCAACTAACATCAATGTTTTTAGTAGGTGAAGAAAAGTCTTCCCGTCAAGATGAAAGTTGTGAAAAACTTTCACATCTTAAGCTGCATTTTAAGTCACGTGTCTAACATATAAAATGTAACTATTTTCTTTTATCATGAAGAATTTAAGAATATGCTTGTTTACAGACTAATCAAACACTTTTATGAAACTTCAGTGTACAATATTTAAGCATCTTCTTCAGCAAAGAAGTACCAAAAAAGCAATTCAAGATTAAATATGATAAATGATGACTTGAAAACATAATCTTTTGAGAAAATATTTCTGCATATTTTACGAAGCTGACTTCATAACTTACGTTTTCATGTAGTTTTATTAAGTTTATAAAACTCATATCATTTTAGAAGTAAATTATAAGAAATTAGATATTTCTTTCCTAACTCAAACCAATACTTTTCTCTCTGAGAGCATAAAAAATGGTACCAAATCTACACTTCTGACAATACCATCTGAATATTAAATATGTTGTAAAATTTTTCGATTTGGTTTAAAATTGTTCCACTTCATTTACAACAGATAGAACAATCATCATCAAGACAGAAGTTTATCATTAATGGACGATAAAGTGAAATCAAAACACAGGCAGTGAAAGAAAGATCAAGAGTCAGACATTCGTTGCAATCCAACATTAAACATTAAGTCGTACATTAAGTTATCTTCCCTTTCTTACATATTAAATACTTTAAACACTTTTAAATTAAACATCGATTCTCAAAATGTGTTAAACACTCACAATTTCTTCGACTTAAGTATCTTGCTAAACTTATTCTAAGCTTAAAATATTAAAATCGTAAAGCTATTTAATGTATCGAATATTAAAGTTCAACTTAATAAAACGTAAGTATGTTCAGAAGATTTCAAATGGCGTAAAATTAGGTAAACTCCTATAAATATAATCTTTTCTGCAGTAAAGAATTCAATATCGTATGTCTTATAATTTTCCGAATAGCTTATTAATGGTGAAAACAATAAGACTTCATAGATATCTAGCCATATGCACAGCTGAACGTTCATCGGACCTAAAGGAATGTTTGAGTTATTGAACTGAATTAATTGCTCTATATTAACTAAACTTTCTATCTTTTGACGAGGCTTCAGAATAAGTAATAGAAGCAACGGTGTATTAGTACCTATTTGAGAACTCAGCAAGAATAGTATTTTTCAAAAAGATTATATTTAAAATCGTATGAACGGTGAGGCTGTATATATATATATAGCTTTGTATACTTTTTGTGATGTCTGTGAGAGCGTATATATACGTACATATATCAAACGCATATATACGTGCATGTTGAAATATGTCCAAGAAATTAAGGCATTATAATAAAAGCACATAAATTCAGATAAAAGTACCAGGAGCATTTTGGTATTAAAATCAAGAAAATACCTCTGCCTCATGGCATTATCTCGAAGTTTGGTTTTCTTAGTGAAACCCCGTGCCGATCAGAGGTTTAAGATAAATCCAGCCTTAGAGTGATGTTGTTTTCGTAAAGCAACATGTTTGAGAGTATCTGATACAAATACCTCTTTCTCAAGGAATGAAAACATTCGAGTATTTTGCGTCTATTCTCGAGACATATGAAATTTCAATGGAGGGTGCTATTAGTGTGATATGTTGAATAAACCAGAAATGATGTATAGAAATCGAAACAGAGCTGTTAATACCTTACTTATATTAGGCTATAAAGAATAGACCTGATAAGATCCAATAAATTTTATATATCATATATTTTAAACATTATACAAAATCATATATATTTCGAGTGCTGCTGTTCATTATTAATGAGTTACGAAAATAAAAATTATATGTTATCCTATTTCTCATCATTGCGCAATACTTTAGACTTGAATATTTTTCTTTTGTGTCTTGTACATCTCAAACTATACAATTATGTACATAGTCATACGTCAAACGCATAAAACTTTTACAATTTTATTCTCTGAAAATATGAAATGCTTTTATGTTTGACCGCATAAAATTTTATAGGTTACATAAACTTGTCTGGAATCCCAATTCTTGCTTGCAAAACTTTGGCATGCTTTAAATATTCAGTTACCACCTTCTGAAGTTTTATTAGAGAGCCAGACAAATGCGACATTTGACCGAAGGATTCTTAAAGGTAAACGGTATAAAGGTTTGACTCCATTACACAAAAATGCTTAAAATAAATTAAATTTAAGGAGCCAAATTCTTTTTTTAATTTAAGTGGTAGAGCTTACCTCAATTCAGTCCGCAGTTAAGACATACATTTAACAATAAACAAGAAAAAAATGAACTTTTATATTAAAAATTGGACTTCGAGACGCAAATAGTTGTCTAAACGCATCCAATAAAATGTTAAGTGATTAGATTAAATTAAACTGCGAAAAGACATAATATAAGACTGGCTATACGCCTAAAAGAAAATGTGCTTTCGTGGAAAGCTTTATAAGGAGAAACTAATTCTTATTCGTGTTACACATTAAGAAGATTATGAAAATGTAACATGTAGCCAGGCTTTGAACTCAGACCGAACTTGAACAGAGTTCTGTAGTCTTAACAACTCAACCGTTGATGGGATTCAGTGAGTAGATGAGGACAGAATATGTGATATTTCATTAAATTAATTTATAAAGGATTTCTTTTATTGATAGTGAATACTATTTTGATTTTGAGTATTAGTAGCTGAACGGAATTTATTAGGTTTTTCATTGAATGGAAAGATAATCTTCACATAAAATCCGAAAGTGAAATACTGGACGTTAAAAGTTAATTGTTCTTTTCTGTTAAGAAATATTATATAATAGAGTACACAATAAGATTTTTATGTGATATTTAACCTTCTTAATAATAATAATGCATACTTTTACGTTATAATAACAATACTATACTTAATCATAATACCACACGTTTATTCTTATAACCGTAACATTCTTTTGTTTCTACATTATGACTATTTTGCTGTTGTTATCAATAATATTTGACTATAAAATATGGTCATTTATTTTATATTTGTTCAGAGCAAAATCGTTTATATTTTTGTAGTTTATGCATTTTTCGTATAACTCTAATAAATAGGACAAAGGAACAGCTGTGTTGTTACCTATTTTTTGAAAAATTACTCATACCAGTATTCCCATTCAACGATTAAAAAAATACCAAATACCGGTTATGTGTTCTTGGTGGGCTATTGCAACGTATTAAACAAAGTTTCGGCAGTTATGGTTCTTTTTCTGTGGGCTATTTATAGTTGATTATTTTGATGAAGAACTGAAATCTATCTATATAAAATCTCAGACTTTTTTACTTATTCTTCATAGTTCTGTCTGGTTTAGTTATTTAAAAAACGTCATAATACTTAGAATTTTTCTGGCATTCACAGTTTATGAGTGATGTAATTTAACAGATGTAAGTGTACAGCTATATTAAAATTTAATTATATGTTTAGGTGCATTGAAACACAAGTAATAAGATGAGCTTTTGTTTGTATTTAGATAGACTCTTCCCATTCTTTGCTTCATCTTGTTCCTATTGTGTATTTGATTTTAATTAATTA